CCACTGGTGGGTTTACCTGTGCACCCCCTCCTGCATCAACCACATTTTACAAGTTGGCCACTCCCACCTGGTCACATGGCTGGCAAGCCACTCCCGCCCGGTCACATGGCCGGCAAGCCACTCCCACAAAGCAAGTAACACCTACAGAAGAGGTTCTAAAACATTTTGAAACCCACCACTGGTTGAGGACTACTGTAGTGGGAAGATAGGGGACCTTACCGCTCCAATCTGTAAAAAACACTATGCTAAAATGATAATAGTCTTATGTCTGTGGTGAAGAACTTATGGCATGCATGCCAGAGCTCTCTCTGTGGGTACGCACGCCGTGCTCAAACCGGAACATTTGTGCGCGCCGGAGCCCCCGAAGCTCAAAGACCAGCTGGCTGGCGCGCATGTGCACGCTGGGAGCCAGACCACCAGCTGGCCCACATGTGCATAGGCACCGGCCTGCTAGTCTTCGTGCTTCTGACGTGTGCATATGCGCATTCCGGTTTGGATACATCACTGGTCTATGTTTTAATTCTAGCACCTAAAAAAGGGAGCCCTTTCTCAAAAGCTACTTAGCAAAAGGATTTCAAAGCAGCAATTCCATGGAATGCTAATGGTGCTAACACCCTTCAGAAGTTGCCACAACATTGTCTTATCTACTAAGCAAAATCTTCTATAATGACTATGTGTGCGCACAGAGAGCAAACAAGCAACTCTTGTTTACATCAAACTTTAGTTTAGTGGTTAAAAACACGTGCTTTGTATTTAAAAAAATACAGATAAACTCTGTAATATCTACATCTTCGAACCATCTATTCAGCTTCCTTTCAAGTGTGACTGATTATCACCAACCTTCATGGTTGGGATGAAACTTGTTACTCTAGCCCAAACATTCACACGGCTGGGAATGGGAAGAGGCAGACGACATACTACCAGTGTTTTGTAATTTAGTTCAAAATTTAAAATATAAGAATATTACACTTCACCGAGGAGCTATATTTTTACGATTTCGAACCCAGTTGAAAATTAAGCACTCCTGACTGTACTTTTCGACTTACCACAATTCCTTCTCCCTCTTTCCCCCCCCCGCCCCCTTACAAAACATTTGGCAAATTCACTTTATGCTGAGCAGGATTCGTTCTTTCGTTTTCCCAAACTCTCTCTTATACAATTGTTTTCGGAAAACTGCAGAACTGGCAGAAACAAGGCGAGCGCAAAAACAATAATTAGGAAGGTAGCTCTTGACTACCAGATAAATTCTCAATTTATTCACTAAGAATAATGACACTGCAGATACGCTTAAAGTAGGCCAAAGCACTGGTCTCTTTTCTCCAGAAGAATCTGTATTCATAAAGAATAAAACAAGGATCTATATTCATGAACTATGTAGAGGGAAGGTCCACCCTTGGCAACTTTTTAAGACTTGTGGACTTCAGATCTCAAGAGTTCCCATGGCTGGCTGGGGAATTCTGAGAGCTAAAAAGTCCACACTTTTTAAAGTTGTGAAGACTGGATACCCCTGAACGAGACCCTTTATATATTTAACTCATCCTCTTCATGTTATAAAATTGAGAAGGTGCTCAAAGGTTAAAGGCGGATCAAGGAACCAGTAGACAACATCAAATTCGAAGGCCCAAATATTTTCTCAGGAATTCTAAGCTTGTTCCAAAGTCCAGGATCTTGGATTATGGCTTAATAAGTAACCAGCTTAATTAGAGCTGATTTCATTTGGAATTCAGTGCATACACGATTATCCCCCTCCTTTTTATTTCCTGTATTTTTCCTCTCTCCTCAATTAATTCCTTTTAGTATTTGGGATTCTGGCTTTATTTATTTCAATCCAATGGACAGACTCCTCAAGATATTCTTGATATCAGCAGGACTGATCCGGTAGAACCATCGACCTAACTTGTTTCCCTGAAAATAAGACACACAAACACACCGGGATAATAAAAACCCAATCAGGCTTTTGAGCACATGTGCTAAAATCGTGACCTGTCAAAACCGCGGTCCACAAAAGCGCGATCGACGAAAGCGCGCATTTGACGTCATCACAGCGTGACGAAAAAAA